ATAACTGAAATTGAGAAAGAAACAAACAGTACACTTGTTTATTTTTAACAAGGTCTGATAAAATAAAAATTTTCAAATATAGGTAATTACAAAGATGTAGCATGGGTTCACATGTCAGATATTATAGCAGTGCTGCCAACTCCAACTTCAGATAACCGAAGACTCACTTTTGACAGTGATGTTTCCCTTTAACTAGATGTCAAATTTGTAAGACGTCCCCTCTGTTACATTTCATATCCTCTCTGTTACGACACATTATTTGGTAAAATGTGTTTGTAATTTTAAAATACTTATAATAATTTATATGAATTGTGATAATTTAAAAAAAATTACAGGTAGTGTTTCGGATAGTCCAAATCACAGAATTTAGCGTAAATAACAATGTGTGTTAAAAAATGTGAGATTTTATTTGTCACCACTGTCACAAGTACTTTTAATTAACTTGCAATTTAATGATGAGGCTCTTTTATTATTTTATGACAATTAATTAAAAATTGCACCCTAAAGTTGGCTATTGTAGAATTTTTCTTTTCAGAAATATTTAATCTATTTTTTATAATGAAATATTTGCATGAATGCCTACAGATGTTAACTCTATTATAATCTATCAATTTATAAAAAATAAATAAAAAGCAATTTTACATGTTAATGTCTAAATTGATTAATAATGACACATCATTACATACACATTGCAATAAAATGAATGTAAAAGGACAAAAACTATAGTTGTGAAACGTAGAAAGTTCTCTTTTTATTAATTTTTATTCACATTCAATAGCGCAGCAGTATGCAACCATCTTTTATTTATGGAATTTTATAGTTCGAAATATAGCTTGGCAATCTATCTCCATGGTAATGGGTGGGGATTACAGGGAAAATTGTCCTTGAATCAAGTGACAACATTCTTTGCAACGAAAGATTGACTACAGAGAGGGGCTCTCTCTACATTAATTATTCCTGTAAGATATTATAATTCTAGGGTCTAAATTTAAGGAGAAAAAAATTGTCTTCAACAAATTCATTATGCGTTTTTTATATACATAAATGTAACCGTCGTTGAGCAGCCGACGTCTTTTGAGTTTACGCCTACTGATGTTCAACTCTATAGCCTTTTAATTTTTAACCCAATCAAGAAAACAAAGAAACTCCTGAATCAAGTATTGAGAGAAATTTGCCTTCGTGGATGTCTTTTTGATGGAACTAACCTGCATTTGCATTACATGGAAAGGAAAATGTTCCACGGTTAGCCTGATGACAAGGAAACTCTAACCTATGATCCGTCTACCACTGAGGATATTTTACATCAGCACTGTGGTCGGTGAAAGCCGGGTGTGAAATTTGTATCGATCAACCATGGCTGGGATTCGAACCCAGGTCACTTCATTGTGAAGAGAGCGCTCTATCCTCTGAGCCACAATAGCTTTCATTGAGTGTTTAAACAAATTAAATTAAGTAGAAGATTTCTATATTGGTATCTACGTGAAAATAAATGCCAAGTTTTGGCAATTTCTGAGCAGTAGCCCACAAGAAACTAAATATTAATAAATTAAAAAAACTTGCCTGTGGGTGTCTAAGCAATCAACTTGAGAGACATTTAAAATTTGTAGTTACCCCCATCAAAATTAAAAAAATTGTTTTTTTTTTTTTGGAAGTTTTNAATTGTTTTTTTTTTTTGGAAGTTTTAAATCCCTTTAGCACCTTGGCAATTGAAGCTGGTGTGAATGGATACCAATATAGCAATGTCCCCTTATTTAACTGTTTTTTATTTATTTCTGCTAGATTTTTAAAAATATAAGAGTTTTGCTTAAAATTGCAAATTGCTGCAGAATTTTTTTCCTCCCTGTGTTAATTGATTAACTGATTGTCTGATACTTATTGTCTGTCTGAACTTATGTCTGATACCTGGTGGCTCAGGAGATAGAGCATTCGTTTCCGAGCAATGGATGGTAGGTAGATACAATTTCCGCATCTGGCTCCCGTCGACCACAGTGCTGATGTACAATATTCTCAGTGGTAGAGGGATTTGGGAATCAAGGTTGTCCTCTTCATGCACCGCTAATAAGGGTTAGTTCCATCAAAAAGTTTTTCAGAAAGGCAAATTTCTCCCAATGCTTTATTCAAGAGTTCCCTTTTCTTCTAGATTTGATTCAGAATTACAAGGTTACCGAGTTGGACAGTAGTAGTAGTGATGCAACAGTTCTTAATTTGGCCGGATACCGGTTATCTGACCAATCTTTGAGCCGGATATCCGGTATCTGGCCGCAGTACTTTTTTAAAAATAAGTATTTATGTTTAATTGGACTAGACAAAACTATTATTTTTCTTTTGCTTATATGATTATATATTTCTTTTAAATAAACTTTCAATTAGAAGTACTTAACTTTAAATTTCTGAATATTAATAAAGAACTATTATATAAATTATATTGTGCTTAGCTTAAATAAAACCACTGATTGAATTTTTATTATAAGTAGGTGGCAGAAACAAACAGGGGGGGTATTTTGCCATTTTCGGTCAAGTATTGTAAAATTCCGCAGCACTGTGCGATTTCAAATTCCCGGAAATCCTAAATAAAGAGAAAAGAAGACCTGCCAGTAACGAGTCAATGTTTGTCACGAGCCCCTTTTTAGAAGAATTAAACAATTTGACAGATGATATGTCCCAGCCGCTATGGGAAGGGGGTAAGGGGTGACCTTCAAAAGAGAACATTGTTTCGGGTATGCCACTTGATCTTGGCAGGTCGCTTACTGAATTGCTATTGGTCAAACAATAAAATGGGGAGGGGGATAGTGAAACTGCCACATCTAAGTGTTTAAAAGACGCATGGAGATCTTACTGTGAAAGAAAAGGTTGACATTTTAAATCGTTACGATAAATTGCAGAAAATGAGCCAAAGGAATGCTGCTGTTCAATTGAAAGTTTCGCAGCCGCTTTTGTGCAAAATTTTAAAAAATCGTGAAGATAGCGAAAAAAAGTGCACTTTGAACGAAAATCTGAATTGTAAAAGAAACCGAGATGGAAAAGACAAAGAGGTTGAATCTGCATTAAAACTCTGGTTCACAAACGTTCGTGAGAGGGACGCTCGTGTTAATGGTCCAATTTTGCGCTGAAGATTTAGCTGCAAAATTGGGTAAAGGAAACTTCGTAGCCCCAGAAGGATGGTTCCACCGCTGGAAAAAGAGGCAGAACATACTCTTCCGAAGGACACATGGTGAACAAAAAGATGCCGATAATGTAGCCGCAGATCAGTGGATTAAAGAAGAATGGCCTAAACTTATTGCCACATATTCACTTGAAGATGTATATAACGCTGATGAAACTGGTCTATATTTTCGTGCGTTGCCTGAACACACGTACATGTTTCAGAAGGAAAGTATGCAAGGCTGTAAAACCTCCAAGGAACGCCTAACTGTGCTATGTTGCGCTAGTATGGCCGGCACTAAAGAAAAACCTTTAGTGATTGGAAAAAGTAAGAAGCCC